CTTTCGAGCTCTTGCAGCAACTTCTTCTGTTATACTGCCCCATGGTCTCCGGGAAACCCCCAGGGACTTGCCACCCTAAACCCTAAACCCCTAAACCCTAAACCCCTAAACCCTAAACCCTAAACCGACAGTTCAGGCTTAGAAGCTTAACCCAGCAAAGCCCACTTCAGAGTTGAGGCTCTGCGACTCCCAGCTTTCTCCTGAGCCCTGAACGCATTCAAATGGGGATTTTCGAAAACAGGGGACCCTGATATAGTATCCTAAATAGTAGGATCCCTATTATAAGGACCCCCAAAATAAGGTACCTATAATTTTCAGAAATTCCCAAATCCAAAGCCGTGCAACCTCTGAAACCTGCCGCTATGCTTGGACTGATTCAACTTAGGGGCTTTGATCGTTGATATCTATAGGCTTCGGGTTTAGGGGTTGATTATAGTACGCAGAGATTTCTGGTATCGTACAGCTACATACGGACTGCAAGAGATTTCGCCACGCCCACAAGTAAGGAAGAGTCGGCTTGCTGGTTCGGGTGCTGCTGTTGTCCTGCGCCGCTGCTCCCTGGATGCAGACTCTGTGCTAGGCCTCGGGCTCAGGGTTGGGGGCTTTAAGGGTTTAGAGCTCTAAGGGTTGAGGGTTTAGGGTTTAGGGCTCTAAGGGTTTACGGTTTAAGGGCTCTAAGGGTTTACGGTTTAGGGCTCTAAGGGTTTACGGTTTAGGGGCTATTAGGTTTCAGGGTTTAGACTTAATTATAGCGCCTATGCGGCTACAGGCGGCTACAGGTCTTACTTTTATCCTGCGCTCCTTGGATCTGTGATCCGTAAGTCGCAGACGTTGCATGCAACGTAACCGGCATTCCTAGCACCTCTGGGGCTTGTGGGGTCAAAAAGTTTCAGAGGAATGTTTGGGTTTTCCTCAGTACTCCATTCAATATACAAGCCTTGAAAGAGCAAACCCTATAGACCCCAAGCCCAACCAAACCCTAAGTATCATTGGATCCAGCTGTGTTTGGTACACTCGACTATGATCTCCAAGTTCTGCAGAACTGGCATCGTTATGTACATTCGGTCGTGTTTCCAAGGCAGCTCCTTTGGTTGAAGAGGGGCTTCCTCAGCCTGAAATGATGTCGGCTTGAGGTTCTAGCCCTTCAAACCCGAGCCCGAGATCACACCTTCAACCTCAAAGCCCTAAACCCTCATAACTGACTTATATGACTATATTTGATACTATATGACTATATACCTGATCAGTCCGGGATCGCAACCCGAGACTGTCAAACGCGACCACCGCTAGGTGCTGGTCTGCCTGGCCGCCACATCCGGGCCGCCAGAGGAAACCGGTGCCTTTAAGGGTTTCCGGCTTAGGGAGAACCCCTAAACCCGACAGCCCGAAACCCCAAACCCTAAGCACGAGAAGCTTTCCAATCCCAAAGCAGTTAAAACACCAAGTCCTAAGCCGTAAACCCAAAGGGAGGGAGCTCAGAGAGTGACACCCAAAATCCAAGAGCCTGATCTTTGGTGGAGTTCCAGGGCTCCTGGTTCATTGGGCGTAGTTCATGGCTCAGGGTCTAAGTTTTCGGTTTAATTTTCGAGGGTCCAAGGCTTACGGTTGGTGGCCGGCACAGGTGGCCTGCAGCAATCCCACGACTAGCACATCCAATCTGAATAGTAACTGATACCATCACCTTGCTCCCCCTAGATATCCAGATTATAGCAAATTCCAAAGCCCTGCTTCCATGTTGAAGACCCCCAAGCCCTAAACCCCAAACCATAAAAGCCAAATCCCTATAAACCCCAAACACTAAACCTCAACCCCAAACCGTAAGCCCTAAACCCTAAACCCAAAGCCCCAAACCCTAAACCCTAAACCCCAAAGCCATAACTCGCCCAAGCGTTCGCTGAGAGGCCAAGCCATCTTGGAGCTTGGCGCTGGCAGACGACCTTCCAGCCCGACCCCCAAGGGAGCTCTATAGGGGGTTTATGTTTTTTGGGGTGTGGGGTTTATGGTTTTTGGGGTGTGGGGTTTATGGTTTTGGGGGTGTGGGGTTTGGGGTTTAGGGTTGAGGTTTAGTGTTTGGGGTTTATGATTTTGGGGGTTTGGGGTTTAGGGTTTAGGGTTTGGGTTGAGGTTTAGTGCTTGGGGTTTACGGCTTTTGGGGTTTATGGTTAGGGGTTTAGGGTTTGGTTGAGGTTTAGTGTTTGGGGTTTATGGTTTTTGGGGTTTGCGGTTTATGGTTTGGGGTTTAGGGCTAGGGTTTAGTCCACGGGGTTTATGCTTTTTGGGGTTTGGGGGGTTTGGGGTGTATGGTTTTCGGGCTTTAGGGTTTATGGTTTGCGGGGGTAGTATTTAGGGTTGAGGTTTAGTGTTTGGGGTTTATGGTTTTAGTTGTTTGGGGTTTATAGTTTGGGGTTTAATGGGTTTAGGTGTAGTGTATGGGGTTTATGCTTTTTGGGGTTTGGGGTTTATGGGTTTTGGGGTTTAGGGTTCCTGGTTTGGGGTTTAGGGCTTGGGGTTAGTGTTTGGGGTTTAGGGTTTAGGGCTTTCAGAAGAGTCTTAAAGGGCTCAGGCCAGATGTACAGGAGGTTTGTTAAAGGTGTATGAAGGGGTTCAAGACTCGTTGACTTCCCTCCGTTGAGCGTGTGAGTGAGTGAGTGTATGAAGGGGTTGCTAGGCTGGTTTATAGGTACAAATGTGTTCTAGGATGCTATTGGATTTTTAAGGTTTAGCGTCGTTGAAGCTGTGGATTGGTGTTACAGTATGAGTCAGTATGAGGTCACAGGAGCTTAGCATGGGTAGGATTCTTGTTTAGGGTTTTTTGATTGCCAAAGAGTGCAAGGAATCTGTGGTGTTGAGGGGTTCGGGGTTCACCGAGCTTTATTCGGGTTATGTTGAAGTTTAGGGACTCCGGCTGTGAAGGGTTGAGAATCGTTCTACTGGGTGGTTTGAGGGTTGACGATGGTGCAGGGTTTTCTTTTCGAGGGTTTTTACAGCTTTACATGGCCATTTGGAGGCCTAAACCCCAAAACCTGAGCTGGCGTCCTAACCCCGCAACCCTGTAAGAACCTAAACTTGCACCCTAAACCCTGAGGGCTAAACCCCAAACCCTCTACGTACTTGCACCCTAAAGCCCAAGCCCGGAAGCTAAACCCGAAACCCCACAGTTTGGGGGTTAGGGTTTTGGGTTGGCTTTGCGGAGACTCCAAAATCCCTTAATCGAGGAACATACTTTAAATCCTGTTAGGGTAACTAGTACAATTTAAGGTGCATTCCTTAATTCAGGGGTTTGGAGTCTCAGGGAACCTTCCCGACCCCTTCCCGTGTTCCCGTTGCAGGTCACACTCAGCAAGGGCACTTTGCTCGGCCACCCGCCTAGCACTGAAGCCACCACCCCGGCGGCGACCACTTTGCAGCTGGGGCGAGTTGAACGGTTGAGGTCTTGGAGCTTCCAACGTTTAAATTCATGGCTATAGGTTTGGGACGCTAGACTTGTAATTCAAGGTGTCCCTTTCTCTGCTTTGACCTCTGGAAAGCACTGCCTCAGTGTACGGTCTCGGGTTGGGGGCTTTCCTTGCTTGATCCATAATCGGCAACAAGGTGCCCTTAGCGTTAAAGGGATACTGGGGAACGAGGAGGTTTCAAGGCTCAAGGGGTGGGGTTCGGGGTGATTTTCGGAGTCATCCCAAAGAACTTGTCGACCAGCCCAGGCCTACAACAAGCATCGGCGCCGCCACAGCAAACAGGGACCTTGGGACAAGCCTGCCTCAACACGAAGGCGGGGCTTTAACATGTTTGAATGAATGCTAAGAACCTACCCTGCTAGTCCGTATATACCTATAGGACAGTATAACTCCGAGCCTCATTCAAAACATTCAGGCCTTCTCTTCTGTCCAAGTCCTTGACCCTGAGCCCTAAAGCCCGCAACCTTTAGAAACCATTCCAACCTTGAGCCGACAACGCTGCAGCCTAAAATGCGTTTTTTCTGAGACTCCGGGATCGATATTGCAGGCCCCGTTTTGCTGAAACTCCCAGGCAGGGATCTCGAGGCCGAACCTCTAACTTAAAAGCAAGGCCCAAATTATGTACCCTAAACCCTAAACCCCTAAACCCTAAACCCTAAAATGTACCTCAGAATGTTACGCCGCGCCTTTGGACTTTACACCCCAGGGCTGGCAGAACCAGACTCACATCATACTGCGAAGCCCCACGGAACCCTGCAACACTCTATACGCAACCCTGAACCCTTAGCCCTGTACTACCCTGCATTGTCGGATCCCACTATACCCCACAAGTATCCGAAACATCCTACACTAATATAGACTGATTATAGTACAATTTTCCCCAAAAACCCTATTCTAATTATTAAGGCCCCTACAATACCCTACAAATGCTCAACCTTGCCAAGATGCCGGCGGCGAGCCGGCAATCATCCGATACACGCTCCCGGCACGGCCCATGCCTCGGTCTTTTAAAGAGGTTCTTTGTCCATAGGCTCCATTGTGGTTCCTTTTTGTGGTTTATATTTAGAATCCTCCCAAAAAGGAACTACAATGGAGCCTATGGGAAAGCTTACGATAAGGGTTCTATACTAAAGGGGTTTAACTTGGCTTAAGGCTTCACAGAGGGGGCTGGCAGTCCAAGGTTTTAGGGTTTTGTTTTCAGGTTTCAGAGGTTTTTAGGAACTCAAAGAAAGGTTCATAGCAGCATGTCAATTTAGGTCTTTGGTGTTGTTGATGTAGACCCCTGGCCTGAATCCAAACTCCCTTTGTACGAATTTCTTGACGACATCTTACCATGACACTCCTCACCGGGGTCGGTGCAGTTAAGTTCCGAAGCCCTAAATACGAAAACCTGAACCCTCGCACCGCTGAGGCAGACATCCTTGGACATTGACCTGGTCGTGGCCGCCTTCTCAGAAAACCTGCGGCTTGACTTCGTGTCTAGCTGAAGCCTGCCCTAAGGGTCCATAGGTTTAGGGTTTAGGGTTTAGGGGTTTAGGGGTTTAGGGGTTTAGGGTATAGGTCCATGTGCCCAAATAGTATATACATTGGCCCTAAAGTACCTATATAGGGACTACATTAAGGCCAAGGTATATACTTTTGGGTACATGGACCCTTAGGGCTTGCAGATAGACTAACCTCCCCAGTAGTACCCATCGTTCTTGTGGTTTCGGGATCTCCTGGTTCACAATGAATAATGTGAACATGGGTGCCCTTATGGTTGAGGGGATGCTTGGAGACCTATGTAGTTAGTACAGTTACGATTTCGGTTTTTCAGTTTGATGGGTTGGTATCGTTCAGGGTCGTCGGGCCTGGATTTGCAAGCTCTGCGGCGCAATGCACGGGTTTTGGACCTAAGCTTATAACGTTCGGATTTGACCATGTGCGACCAGAGTGCACGCGCTGCCACTGATACCCAAGGGTGTTGCTGGCTTGTGGGCACACGTGTTGAATCTTTGATTCTTTCGTCGACTGGCTTCTTACTTATGGGCGGTTCCACAGGTTTTTGCCCTCCCAGTGTGCCGAACCTCGCCTTCTCTCCATGTCACCCCTGAACCCTGAACCCCAAACCCTGAGCCTTAAGCTTTCAACTCTACAGTGGAACTGGGGGCTGGGCACCAGACCTATGGGGAGGAGTGATGACAATGGGACACAGCAGATGATTCCCGCAGCTCAGTCATACTCCTGCTGTTATGTCCCGAGCCCCTGAAGCCTTAAGCCCAAACCCGAAAACTCTACAGCTCCTACAGCCTCGCATCCTACAGCCCCAAACCCGAACACCCCCTGAAACCTAACACCTCAAGCCTTGAACTCCACACCCCGAAAAGACCCTTAGCTCTGAACCTCTGCAGGCATAATATAGGAGCCTAAATAATTACCCATACTATTTTGATTAGAGTTATCATATAATAGAACCCCAAACCTTATTCTAATTACCTTGGCGACCACATGACCCTTATAAGTAACAGGCCCTATACCCTTATACCATGAATCCCTATGTTTTGTATGAACCTGAAACCCTTTTAGGAATCATTCCGTCCTTAAAGTATTAAGGCCCCTACAGTATCTCGAGCTGAGGAGTTGGGTCGAGCCTATGCTGGCGCGTGTCTCCCCGGGAGCCGAGCTGCGACTGTATTGCAGCCTCTGACAGCACAGCAGGGTTTAATGTAGGGGCCTTAATAATTGGAATAGGGCTTTGGGGTCCTTTAAAGGGTTCCTTAAAGGGTTCTATAAGGGCTACTATAAGGGTTTAGGGAGGCTGAAATAATTGGAATAGGATTTTGGGGCCCAGAAAACTATTATTTAGGCCCCTACATCAGGGTTTCAGACGCAGGTGGACTGTCAGGCTTTCTGACATACGATGCAGGAATTAAGGTTTGAGGTTTCAGAATATGCGCATTTCGGGCTTCGGCATATACATTGATTGAGGGCTGGCTGAGTCGCTATGGATTTGATGCGCTGTCTTAACATGTGTTGGCAGTTTGACGTTGTAGTGGATTCTGAAGTATGTGCGAGATATGGTTATTTGGACTTCATAGTGGCATAGTATTTCTATAACTTCTAAGTTTGTGGACTGTAGTTCGGGTTCTGGGGCGCTGAACCGATAGCTCGCGAAACTGATGCATGAGTTGCGCACCCTCAGCAGCAGGCAAGCCTTGGTTCAAGGTTTTGATTGCGTCGTAGGTGCAGAAAATGTGCCCTCACAGGCTGAGGGCAACGAAAAACTGTTGAACTGTCCACCTGCAACTGAACATGATCCGTACATCAATTTGTTCACCAGGAAAGACACCACACCCAAGGACATCAGCAAGCATTAAATCATTAGCCCACACTGAACCCCAAGCCCTAAACCCAGCCCAGAAGCCTTATGTCATATGCATCCCAACCTCCCCCCAAGTGCTCGTCAGAGAGTCCACTCGCTCCTTCCTCTCCATCCCTCCGTCTGTCCGCCCCAAATCTGAGACCCTAAACCCCAAACCCTAAAACCCTAAACCCCAATCCGTAAAACCCTAAACCCCAAACCCTAAAACCCTAAAGCCAAAACCTAAACCCTCCCTGCATCTCTCGGCCTTCGATCTTGCGTACGCCCCGAAAACTCGTCCGGACACCCTTTCGCCCACGGTGTTGATGCGGCGCCACTTGCGCTGGCGAACCCTTAGCTCAAACCATCTTAAACCTTGGGCCCTGAACCTTGAACCCTAAATCCTATTAGACCCTAAACCCTAAAACCCTAAACGTCAAACCCCAAAACCCTAAACCCAAAGCCCTACTCCTTAAACCTAAGGCAAAGGCCCCAAACTCAACGACCCCCGCTGCTTGCGCATCGACAACTACGGTGGCGAGGAGTGGATTTGGGTTTAGGGCTCAGGGTTTAGGAGTTCGTTAGGATTTAGGGTTTAGGATGTAGGGGCTTGGATTTAAATATTTGGAGGTTGGGTTTAAGGCCCACTTTGAAGCAGGGGTTGCTACAAGCGTGCAATAGGGCCCCATTCAGGCTTCTGTCGTGGTCTTATGTTTAGGGTTTCAAAGGGCTAGTGCGGCCCCGGGCACCAGTCTTGAACGTGCTTTCTTGTGGTTATATTGGGATTCAACGAAACGAGGCTTTGGAGTCTCGGACATATTTTACAGTGCCAGCGTTGCTTGAAGTAAGTCTAGGGGAGCGAGTTTTGTAGTGCGTTTTGGAGCCTTTGGCTCAGGAAGTACGGGCTTTGTTTTTTGGGTCAGGGTCTACGTAAAAGCTCATAGACTTGCGTACATCAGCTGCAGGTTGCGTCGCACCTGTCTTAGGCAAAGGTTTTATAGTTTTTAAGATTCAGGAAGTAGGGTTTGATTTTGGGAAGCAACACGATTGCATATTTCAACTACGCCCACCATGGGCATGACCCAAAACCCCAAGCCTTAAGTCAGGAGTATGCATACCTCACCCATATCACTCACTTCTACGATGAGCTCGCGCCGATCACGGTCTTCACTCTGGGCAGCATCTACAACGAAGACTGGCTACTGGGATCGATTTAAACTTAGCTCAGTGTTCAAGGTACAGGGAGTCTTGTCATAGTTAAAAAGACCCTATTCCGACCAGCAAGGTCGCTGGATTGCAATCAAAAGCCGCGAAGCCCAAAGTTGGAAGTCTGCTTCGGGCACTTCCCCTGTGACTCCAGAAGTGATGTTTGGTCTGTAGGGTTGGCCGCAAGCCTGCAGCCTTAAACCCTCAACCCCTAAACCAAAAAACACCAAACAACCTCAACCCCTATGAACCATAAACCCTGAACCCCTAAACC